GCGCCTGGATGTACTGTCCCCTTGCGGTGAAATACTGGGTACTATTCGCCAGGAATGGAGTCTATGTTTACCGAAATTCCGCGTCGAGGACGCCAATGGAGAGTGTGTGCTAATGATCAGGGTAATTATAGTTGTTATTCATATGGCATGCTAATTTAATTATGAATCCTTAATTAAGTACAGCGTAATAGATTTCATACACAATTTTGACCTAGTTCAAAATTAAAATAGCAAATACAATGCTATGAAATACCAATTTGTAATACCCAGAGCGCCAGTAGCTAAATATCTGTTAACGTACTGTACCATGTTAACATTGTCGCATATATATAAATTCTAGTCTATTGCAACAACAAACTAATCAAATACGTGTCGGCTTATTTTTTTGTTACTTGGTAACTTTTTTATGGGCACCGGTAGGCGCCGTTTTGTGCGTACTCGTGGAGGTGCGGTGACGTCGACTTTCCCATCTACTCGGCCTACGACGACAGCCCTGTCGGCAAAATCACGAAACAGTGGTCCGGATTGGGACGGGAGTTGTTCACCGACGCCGACCACTTCGGCATAACGTTCCCCATGGATCTGGACGTCCACATAAAGGCCGTCCTATTGGGCGCCTGTTTTCTCATCGTAAGTATGGCGTAGAGTCCGTGTCGTAAACTATTGGCAGTGATATACTGTATATATGTATGGGAAAGGTTAGGTGGGCTGGGATATGGTAGAAATGATTGATATTATTAAATAATTTTTAATTTCTATGTTTTTTGTATTATTTTTTGTAGGACTTCCTGTTTTACGAGAGCGAACAGTAGGTATTATGTATGAACGGCACCGGTATTTCCAAACGACTTAATAGCTATTATTTGTCACTTTTAATATTCCGTTTATACCTATAAATGTCACTAAATATACATTTTATTTATAAATTCATTGCTTAAAAGTGTTTTTAAAATGTAGCTATAGTTCAAAGATAAAAGTTTAGATATTTTTAAAATATTTTTAATGAATATAATTGTTTATATTATAATTGTTTATATTATAATAATTTATGAATATAATTGTGTTAAAATGAGCTTAAAAATAATTTTATTTTCGTAAACACAACATAAGAATTTATAATCAAAATTTAATTTTTATACCTTATTTTAAAAACATAATAAACAAAAATTATTTTAAATAAATTGTTAAAATTTTAGACAATTTTGGTTTCAATATAAAACATAAAACAGTAATTTATTGTCAAGTTTT